TCACTGCAACCTCCACCTCCTGGGTTCAAGCAATTCTCCTGCCTCAGCCTCCTGAGTAGCTGGGATTACAGGCACGCACCACCATGCCCAGCTAAAAAAATTAATGTTTTTATTATATTCCTCATCACAACCCTGACATGAATGGCCGCTCTTAGAGTTACATATAGTGATTCTTAAAGATACTGTGATCCTGTATCTGAGTAAAAAGCTATGGTGAACAACCACAAAAACTACAAAAAGAAGGATTAATGCCAAATGATCTAGAAAATATGGATTCAGGGAAAGCAGGGCCTTAGAGACTCTCTTAAAAATGTGCAATTCAAAGTACTGATGACATAAAAATGCATGAATGTACTGTTAATTAACCTTTCCTTGCTAATTTCCAAGGAAAAATAGTATTGCATTTCATATATTAATCCATTACTAAGTTAAGGAATGGCATTTAGAAAAACTAAATTTTTTTTTTTTTTTTTTGAGACAGACTCTCACTCTGTTGCCCAGGCTGGAGTGTAGTGGCGCGATCCTGGCTCGCTGCATCCTCTGCCTCCTGGGTTCAAGTGATTCTCCTGCCTCAGCCTCCTGAGTGGCTGGGACTATACAAGGTGTGTGCCACCACACCCAGCTAATTTATCTTTTTAGTAGAGATGAGGTTTCACCATATTGGCCAGGACGGTCTTGAACTCCTGACCTCATGATCTGCTTGCCTTGGCCCCACAAAGTGCTGGGATTACAGGTGTGAGCCACTGTGCCCGGCCCAAAAAAACTAAACTTTTATAACACAGTTACCTTGCCCACATCACCTCCATGGGGGTAATGAGATCCTGGAGAATGTACAGGAGAACCAGTCGGAGAAGCAGGAAGGATATTAATGATATCAGGGTCAAGATCATCTCCTGTGTCTAACAAATCAAAGATACCCATTCCATCTGCTCCATCTAAACAGGAGAAAGAAAAGAAATTTAAAATTCTATTTTCCATATCCTATGATCATTCACAGGAAAGGGTCAAAATAAATGAAATTTTAACCAAAATGGGTTAATTTAACCAACATTTACTGAGTGTCTACCATGTGCCAAGTATTGTGCTAAAAGCCATATAAATAATTATGCATAAACAAGCATGTGGTAGTCTGAATAATGGCCCCCCAAAGATGTCCACATCCTAATCCCAGGAATCTAAGAATATGTTACCATAAAGGACTTTGCAGATGTGATCAAGCTAAGGATCTTGAGATGGGGAGATTATTCTGGATTATCCGGGTGGGTCCAATGTAATCACAGGGGTCCTAATAAGAGGGAGGCAGTAGGGTTAGAGTCAGTGAAGGAGATGTGATGACACCATACTGCTGGCATCCAAGATGGAAGAAGGGACCATGAGCCAAGGAATGCAGGTGGCCTGTAGAAGCTGGCAAAGGCAAGGAAACATTTTCCCTTAGAGCCTCCAGAAAGGAATCAATCCTGCTGACATTCTGACTTTGGCCCAGTGAGAATGATTTTGGACTTCTGACTTCCAGAACTGTAAGATAAAATAAATGGGTGTTGTTTTAAGCCACTAAATGTGTAGTACTTTGTTAGAGCAGCAATAGGAAACTAATACAAAGCAAATATGGTACGTAGGAAATGAAAATGTGTTTAAAGTGGGACTAGAGTATTCCCCCTTATCCATGGAGGATATGTCCCAAGACCCACCCCCATGCCCCCGTAGATTCCTGAAACCAAAGATAGTACCAAATCCTATATACTGGTTTTTCCTTTACATACACACCTATGATGGAGTTTCATTTATAAATCAAGTACAGTAAGAGATTAATAACAAGAATAATAGAACAGTTACAGCAAGGTACTATAATAAAAGGTATGTGAATGTGGTCTCTCTCTTTCAAAGTATCTTATTGTACTATACCATGGGTAATTGAAACCATGTAAAGCTAAACCAAAGACAAGGAGGATTACTGTATTTATGAATAGCATGTTCTTTATTAAGTAAAATATGTGAGTTTTTATATAACACACTAAAGACAGCATAGTAGCCATACTTGTGACTTTAGAGATGTGAGATTTTTAAAGGTAGCACAGAGTAACAATAAAATCTTATTTATTTTCTCTTCTATAATGCAATCTATAATTTTAACTGGAAAAGCTACATCCCTACTTTGGCAGTTTATCATTGCCCAAGCTGGGGTGCAAAGGTGTGATCTTGGCTCAACAAAACCTCTGCGTCCCGGGTTCAAGTGATTCTCCTGCCTCAGCCTCCCAAGTAGCTGAGATTACAGGCATGCACCACCACGCCTGGCTAATTTTGTGTTTTTAATAGAGCTGGGGTTTCTCCATGTTGGCCAGGCTGGTCTTGAACTCCCAACCTCCGTTGATCCACCTGCCTGAGCCTCCCAAAGTGCTGGGATTACACTGCAGTGAGCCACTGCACCCGGCCATCTATTACCTTTTAAAATAAGTAAAGATGTCTGGGAATGGTAGCTCATGCCTGTAGTCCCAGCACTTTGGGAGGCCAAAGTGGGTAGATCATTTGAGGTCAGGAGTTTGAGACCAGCCTGGCCAACATGGTGAAACCATATCTCTACCAAAAATACAAAAATTAGCCAGACATTGTGGCATGTGCCTATAATCAAAGCTACTCAAGAAGCTGAGGCACGAGCATCACTTGAACCCAAGAGGCGGAGGTTGTAGTGAGCTGAGATCGTACCACTGCACTCCAGCCTGGGAGACAGAGTGAGTGAGACTCTGTCTCAAAAAAATTTTTTTTAAGTAAAGATTTATGGGATAATTCATAGCACCAGTTCTGATACCCACAAGGTGAAAGAATGGTTGTATTAGTTTCCTGTTGCTGCTTTAATAAGTTACCACAAACTGTTGGCTTAAAAACAACACACATTTATTCTCTTACAGTTCTGGAGGTCAGAAGCCTGAAATCAGTTTCATTGGACTGAAATCAAGATGTCGGCAAGGCTGAACTCCTCTGGAGGCTTGAGGGGATAATGTGTTTCCTTGTCTTTTCCAGAGTCTGGAACTATATTCATTGGCTCATGGGCTCTTTCTCCATCTTCAAAGTCAGCAGCATAGCATCTTCTCCCTTTGACTCTGTCTCCCTCTGTATCCATCACATGGCTTTCCCCTCTTCTATGTAGTCAAATGTCCTTCTGCCTCCTTCTTATAAGAGTACATGTTATAGCATTAAGGGCCCACCTGCATAATCCAGGATAATCTCTCCATCTCAAGATCCTTAACTTATTACATCTGCAAAGTCATTTTTTGGTAAAATAAGGTAACATTCACAGGTTTCAGGTATTGGACATGAATTTAATTTGGGGGGTATTCTTCAGACTACCAAAATGGAACAAATTACCTACCATTGTTGGGATTGAAAGCTAAATCCAAATTTTCAGTGGTATAAGTAGCTGAAGCTACTTGCACAGAAGCAGAAGTAGGAAACACAAGTATATGAGTACATGATGTATCCTGTGGGGTATTTAGCTGAGATGTCTGCATGTTTAGAGTAGTGCTTCTTCCAAATACAGAACCAGTTGACACAGAATCTGAAAATGAAAGATATTTTTTTCTTTTAATAAATGAGGAATACATTTTATGTAATACTTAAAAACTTAACTGCATGAGGAATTAAATCTGATATAAACTAAAGATAGCTAACCTGGCATAATAACAAAAGAGCCTTGGGGCTCCATTGCCACCAAGCAAGCACTGAGAATGCTAGGGGAGTCTGCAGCAGATATACCACACATTCTACACATGTCTTTGAGCCTTTTACTTAGAGACTGCAAATTTCGACGACTCAGCAAACAGCTCCAATCTGTATCAACAGTAAAAAAAACAAAAATCAAAGTAACAGTATTATTATTTTTTTAATGTTTAGTCTTTGAAAGGTAACAGCATTATTAACCTCGTAGAACCAAGTTAAAGTTAAAACATAAAAAGTTAATGAATTTTAAATTAGTGTATTCCTCAAACAGGAGTCATCGTCAAGTTGAAATTCTTACTGCTGATGCTACTCAACATCCTTTATCCCCCTAATTTTAGGATACACCACCTTCAATTAGTATCTGCTCAACAGAGGATGAGTTAAATAACAATCAGAAAATGGAAAAAACAGAAGACAAGGCCGGGCGCGGTGGCTCAAGCCTGTAATCCCAGCACTTTGGGAGGCCGAGGCGGGTG